ATGTGCGCTGACCACCAGGGGGCATCGTGGAACATGGTAGGCATCGGCTGCTGTGGGATGGTGGAGCAGGTGAGTGGGGGTGCCAGACCAAGGCAGGGCTCTGGTGGCTGCCACTGGGGTGAGCCTCTGGTGGTTACTGAAAATTCTTTGCTCCCACATGCTGCAGTCCTGCCTGGCGATCGCACCTGCTGCCGGCACTGGCCCCACTCGCACCTACTTCCAGTGCCGGCCCTGCTTGCACCTGCAGCTGGCGCCAGTCCTGATCTCTCAGGGGTTCTCCATCGCCCCCTGCTTCTGAGGGGGGACTGGGAGCTGCAGTGGGAGGGGCCAGGTGGGGGTTGGAAGGATGGGCTGAGACCCGCCCCTGTGCCTACCACAGCCTTGCGGCCTACAGTTCCTTTCACGGTGCACGAATTCGTGCACTGGGCCCCTAGAGTGTGTGTGTGTGTGTGTGTGTATAAAATGTTAGTCATGTTTACATCTCACTAGATAAAACTAATGATTTTATCTTTCTGACTCCTCTTCATATACTTTATAAAACAGAAGGTAATCCCCCTACAAGGAGATTGACATCAGTTTGATTTTATAACTTTTCTGCCCATCTGTAATTAAAATCTTTTAAAAATATTGTGCATGACTCAGTAGTAGTATTATATATGAAAAAAATATAACTTCAAATGTGTTTGTCAGAAGGATAAAAAAAGTCCTAGAAGCCTACATAAATTATCAGCTTTCTTTTAGGGCTGTGTCCTCATAGGCAAACTAGGGAATAGAGGTACTTATTTGAAAAGAGCTGGGCAAAAATGTTAAATTCTGTAATTGAAGAAATGATATAGCATGAAGTTTTTAGTTAGTTACCCAGACTCTGTATTACATTGATTCTATTGACTTGATAAAATTACATAATTGTAACTCTTTATCCTTATAAATGCAGGTAGAAAATGCTAGAAATAAAATTCTCTAATTTGAACAACTTAGCCCTAACTTCAATGCCGCTTGGTTTCCTATTATTGTCACTTGAAAAAATCATTGGTAATTTTCCTATAGAGACTTTTACAAAAGAAGTTTATCAAGAAAAGTTTATAAAAGCTAAACAAAACATGTCTATCAAGAGTGTTGTCTGCGCTTTTATTGGCTTTTAGAAGTTTATTTCTTCCAGTTTAGAAAATTTTAGTTTTGCCTCTCAGGAGTCATAGCACTTTCGGCCAAGTAACATCTCTCTGTTACTACAGGTGATATAATGTTTCTTTGTGGAAACATGATGAAAATGAACAAAATAAAACTCATCAGGCCAAATTCTGTTCTATTTAGTGCTAGCATCAAATAAGCATTTCCCAAGCTTAACAGAAAGCAGACTTTAAGTGGCTGAGAGTTGGATAAACATCAAGTTGTTTCAGAAAGGAGTCGACATCATTTTTACCTCAGAGTAGAGCACAATGATGCCTTAAACTGTTGTGTTTAGTGTTAATGGGTTTTTAGTTTAGTTTTTCCATTAAAGTTTTTCCTTATATACAAAGTAGGTTTCATAGTATAGCTAGCTAGCTTAAGAAGTTTTATACCAGAGAACATTTGAATACTAGAATAAAAAATATGTGCTTCTTGTCCACATATGTTAGTGCAATTTTGTTCCATAAATTTTCAGGTTTGCATTTGCTATTTCTAAACTATATAACAAAACAAGTAAAAAATTTCCCATAAAATTAAGATTATTTTGACATTCTGAATTTTAACTAAAGGTGATATTTTGACATTTACAGGTTGGCAGAAGAATTCCTTTGACCATTTGGGGATATTAGAAAGATTATAATCTATTTATAAAGAAAGGGTAAAAACCCTCTACTTTATACATTGAAAAAATTATTCCAACTCTTTTTCTAAGCAAAAGTCAATCAGAGTTAAACATAACTTGAGACTATTTAGTGGCAAAAGAACAATCATACTACTGCATATGTGGAGTTTTAAACTTTTGTGCAGATAAATTTCTTTTGCTTTTATGATGGAACTAGGGGCCCAGTGCACGAAATTCGTGTACTGGGGGTGGGGGTCCCTCAGCCCAGCCTGCCCCCTCTCACATACTGGGAGCCCTCAGGGGATGTCCTACTGATGGCTTAGGCCCGCTCCCTGCTCCCCTTGGGGAGCGGGCCTAAGCCGCAGTCTGGCCTCCCTTTGTGGGAGGTGACTGGGCTGATCAGGGGAAGGCACCAGCCCCATCACCCCGCTGCTGCAGCCACTGCCAGTCACCGCAGCCACTAAGGTTTTTTCATCAACACGGACTCCAGTCCCTTCACCATGAAAAAATGACAACTTTCTTTAGGCATTTTCAAGATGTGTCTTTCATAGGATATGACATTTATTTATTTATTTATTTATTTTATCCTCACCTGAGGATATGTTTCCATTGATTTTTAGAGAATGTGGAAGAGAAAGGGAAAGACAGAGAGAAACATCAAAGTGAGAGGAACACTTTGATTGGTTGCCTCCTGCATGAGCCCTGACCTGGGCCCCGGCCAGGGAGGAGCCTGCAACCTAGGTACATGCCCTTGGTCAGAATTGAACCCGACCCTGCGGTGGGCAGGCCGAGGCATTATCCACTGAGCCAAACCAGCTAGGGCAGGATATGACATTTCTTAGCCCTCCAGCAGTGGACCTTTGTTTTTTTCACAGGAGTGAGGGGGAAAAACCCTAGATCACCTTTTTGGATTCTTATTACCCAAGTTACTAAGAATATTACCAGTGGCATACAGGGAGCTTAGCCAATGAGCGGTCAGAAAAGGTGTTTCCTCTGTAGTTCACACCAATCACCGGCTCGACCCCCCACCCAGACCTGATGCCTCAGCCAGAGGCATCGACCCCCATCACCCTCCAATCGATGGCTCCGCCCCCCGCCCAGGCCTGACACCTCTGGCCCAGGGATCAGGCCTGGGCAGGGGACCCCCAGACTCCTCCGATCCCCAGCTCTTCCCCCCACCCAGGCCTAACGCCTCTGGCTGAGGCTTTAGGCTTGGGCAGCCCCTCCCCCCCCCCCCCCCCGCAGCTCCGATGGCCGGCTCTGCCCCTGCCCAGGAGCCCCCTGGCTCAGGCCCTTCCTACGCTACTCAGGGCTCACACAGGGCCTACCTCGGAGTGACCTGGGTGCTGATGATGTTCCCGGGACCCAGGCTGCTGGGTGCCTATGTATACAAATTAACCACCATCTTTGTTGGGTTAATTTGCATACCCATCCGATTGGCTGGTGAGCATAGCAAAGTGACACTAATTTGCATGTTTCTCTTTTATTAGTGTAGATAGTTGTCTAAATGGCAGTTTAAACCTATAGCATTAAGAGCCTACAGTAATTTATTCTTGGCTCTAAATTTTTTTTTTCTTGAAGATCCTTTTCTCCTACAGACATTTCACAAGAGTCATTTGAAATTAAGGCTATAACTTTGCAAATAAAAGCACCCTAGTGTAGTTCCAGGAAATTGGGATAGAAAAGTAAATCTTGAATAAGACTTCACATTTCTTGGAGTATATTTGTTTTTCTATACATTCTCCAGAGGGGTAAACCTCATCAATAAGTTCTCTGCTTAAAACCCTTCAGTGGTTGCACTTGGCTTTAGTACACACACTAGTGTTAGCCTGCAGGGTCCTTATCTTTTCTACAACCAGGACCTCTCTCCCCACCCTGCACCTCCCACCATGAATACTGCTCTCAGTTTATGTCTGCTCTCCCCTCTCCCTTCAGCTCACACATGGCTCCATACTTTTGTTCATGCCTTTTCTTCCATTATAATACACTCCCTTCCGTTCCTGTTCTGTTCCTATATGTCTGACAGCTGTAAGTTCTGTGAAGTCTTTGCATGCTGTCCACTCCTCCAGCTCCCACCCTCAGAACCACAGGTCCCCTGCTCAGTGCCTGCAGGAGCACTTGTCACAGCTTCCTCCTGTGTTGTGTACGGGTGTCTTTCCCACTAGGTTGTGAGTGACCTGAAGGCAAGGGGAATGTCTTGTTTTTATAGTTCTAGCATCCAGAACAGAAAAGGTGGATGGTGGTGCATGCAATTTTTTTTTCTTAATTTTTACAAATTTGTTATTGATTTTTGGAGAGAGAGAAGAAGAAGAAGAAGAAGAGAGAGAGAGAGAGAGAGAGAGAGAGAGAGAGAGAGAGAGAGAGAGACGAGAGAGAGAGAGAGAGAGAGAGAGAAACATCGATGTGAAAGTGAAACCGAGTCTGAAACCTGGGCATGTGCCCTCACTGGGAATTGAACCAGCAACCTTTTGGTGCATATGATGATGCCCATGCCCATCCAACTGAGCCACACTGGCCAGGGCAATAATTTTAAAAATAATAACAAAATTCTTATGTACATGTGTCTTCTTGATGACATATATATTTTTTCATGAGATAATAAATTATTTTAATATATTCACTACATTCTAGTGTGGTTTATTGCACAGCATTATTGTGGCGAATAGATAACTGATACAAATCTGCAAATCAACCCCCCTACTTTTATTTTTTTGTTTGTTTTTCCCTTTTGACTCTTGTTACCCTAAATAGTAAGGTGTGAACACTTAATAAGCATTTAATATATACCTAGGTAAGAAAACATTATAATACATTTTGGGGACTTAGGGGGAATACATACAAGTCAGCAGCTAACATGGATTGTGAACAATAAATGCTGACAGATTGATGTTGTTATTTTCAGTTTAAAGCTTGAAATTAAAGTTGGCAAAATAAACACCTAAAATAAACTATCCAAAACACTTATATTTAACATATGTGTTCTCCTTTCTTATGTAGCTCAAGTACCTGGAGATATTTTCTGATGATCCAACCCATATTTTTCTTCATGTTACTATTAGTTTTTTGTGTTATCCAATCAGGTTCTAAGCCTTTGCTTCATTGAATTGCTCATTAATTTGTAAATGTGCGTTTTGTCTTTCCTTCTGCTTATAAAGATTAAATGTTCTTTTAGGGCAGGAATTACATCTATTTCTTTCAATTTTCTCTGCAGGACCTAGTGAGGATCTGCACACATATTTTGTCCTCAAAAATTCTTTGTGGAATGAATGAAAGAAAATTCCCACCATTAAACATGGTAAATACTACACAAATAAATGTACCTGTGTATTAAGTCACAAAAACAAATTTTTTGAATATTTGTAGAAATTTTGCTATGGGTGAATATTACACAAAAGTGTTTTGCTGCAATCAATAGAATTCCCTAAAACGTAGTGGGGCATTGATTGCCTTGAGGATATCAGTAAAAATGTTATTTCATTTTAATTTGATCAAGACCAGGGAGCAAGAAACACATTGCTTTACTTATATCATGGTATTTTCTCTTCTGTCTCATTTTGATAGTTGGAGTCTGGAATTCCCACAACACAGAACAGTTTGCCAGTGCTGCCTGGGCCTGTGACCGTCAAGGTTAGACCTGGGGTTCAAGGACTTACAGATGGAAGTGAATGCTCCTTCCTTTGATGGTCCCCCCGCACCACCAGGGGAGGCAGAACAGACTTTTCATAGGCTCTGAGTATGAAGGTGTATGAAGGTGAGAAACTTTCTATTTTGAATGCCAACACTGAGAGAAATAAAGAGTAGTACATGTTATAATATATGGCAATTTGCTCTTACAATATCAATTTATCCTCTCACTGCTTCTAAATACCTCATGCTACTCATGCTGAGAATCTCAAAAGTCAATGACATAGAAAGCTCAGGTAAAAAATTTTGGGACCTGGAATTGAAAGTTTGGGGAGTTAACAGTCTATATCTGATAGGCACTTCAGATAATTATTTATGGAACAGTATTAATTGGCAATCTATGTGAAAATGTTAATCCAAGTAACAGATATGGGTAATTGTTTTATTTTTTTAAAGTATTTTTTTATTGATTTCAGAGAGGAAAGGAGAGGGAGAGAGAGAGAAACATCAATGTTGAGAGAGAATCATTGGTCAGCTGCCTCATGCACACTCCACACTGGGAACTGAGTGGGCATGTGCTCTGACCAGGAATCTAACTGTGACCTCAACCACTAAGCTACACCGGATGGGCTGTATTTACAATTTTGAATTTAAGTGCTTATATTCAGAGTGCTTCTTATAGTTACAGTGCATGTCTGGTCCTCTGTATATCTGAGCACGAGATCTCTACAATCACAACACAGCTTTTTTTGGGAGCATGTTATCATATCGTGGGAGAAAATAAGAAAAAACAATCAGCATTAGATTCTTTCAGCTTCAATTCCAGAATTTCCAGTCAGATAATTTGCTTTCCATCCCATCCCTCTCCCTGAGAAGAAGGGGTAAGTGGCAGAGGAAACCACCATGCTATTCTTGGTGTTAGCACCAGTAACATTGCTAAAATGCTTCATCGATTTGGCATGCACACCTGGAGTTTCATGCAGCTATCAGGCAAATCTGATCTTCATTTCTTTCATTGAAGTGAAGAGTGAGATGATGAAATAATCCAACCAATGAGGTGTTTGAAAGCATTCCATTGTTGTTGCCAAGTCACGCTAGGGAAACTAGGATCTGCTTATGGCAATGTCGGTTGTGTTATGTAGCACAGCAATGATAGTGATGAACACTAATGCCATCATGCTTACATGGTGTCAGATACTATTCTGAGTACTTTTTTCACATTTCAAATCCATAATCCACTTTATAGGCAAGGGACCATATCTCTGTTGCCTTACTTGACCAACATCTCAGAGCTTGTAAGTGGCAGTTCCTACCCTGAACCCCAGCTCTCTGGTTTTAGAGTCCATGCTCTTTGACCCTTGCCTTTGTCGCTAACTTAATAACTATATTAACTTGAGTTGCTAAGGTAAAAACTTCAGAATGAATCAGTTGTTTTCTATTCTCTTATTAATTGTGTTGATATTCACACCTCAAAGCAAAGGATAGTTTCAATGAGTGAAACTCAAATGTTTTGCAGTTTTAATCATATAAAATGCACAAACATTAAAAGCAGAAAAAATAGTGCTTCTAGTTTAAAACATTGAATATCCATGACTTGAAATATTTTTATTTATAAACTTATATTGTAGCTCTAGATATTTTGTAACTAAGTAAAATTGAAACTCTCCTTTATTCATTATTTTTTTTCATTATAAGTGAAAGAAGTACAACTCAAGGAAATTTGAATGGAGAGAGAATTACTGGCTTAGATACTAAAGATCAGAGGTGGAGTAGCTGGCCTGTCTGAGTTTGCCTCAATCCAAAGATTCAAGTGATGTCAATGGGTATTTATCTCTTGCTCTTTTCTCATACCTCCATATCCTACTCCACCATCATCTCTGCATCTCTTCCACATCTCAGTGTGTCTGTCTTCTTTATTCCTCCTGTAGAGAGAGGCTTCCTTTATGAGGTGGTAGTGAAGGAGAAGACTCAGGCAGCCAAAAATGTGCACCACTCCCAGCTTAGCCACCTAAGAGGAAACAGAGATTATACATAATATAACAGATTTCCTCTTTCCAGTTCAGTATGTAAGGAGGCCGCGATAATGTAATTGGCAGCCCTACCAGCATCATAAAGTAATTGGAAAGAATCACAATTCTCCAAAGGCAATGAGGATTCTGAGAAAAATGGGGAAGAAAAATCTGGCGGAGAGAAGCAATTGGTGTCCATGACATCCCCACATCTCTAGGACACTCATTACCTAAGTCTTAAATGTAAATCCTGTGGGTTCCTCGTGCTTTCTTCTATTCCTTCTGGAACCCTACCTTTTGGCAAATTTTCTGGAGTACTAAATGGGAAACCAGTGTTCAGAAGCTATTTTGCCAGGCACCAGGAATTACTAAAATATGTTGTTGGGAGATAAGATTGAAATTATTAGCAATTTTAGTTTCTTCTGTTAAAAACATTTGTCTTGTGTAGTCCCAAGATTAATAAGAAAATTGAATTTATCATTTTGGGTTTTTCAAGTTTTTATGTGGTAAAATTTTTTTTGAGTGTCTAACGGATATGCTTAATTAACTCACCACCTTTATTGCCAATTTGAAGATTTTATTATTTATACATAGAAGTAGGCATTTTACAGTAAGTCGTTATTGCCTATGTAATATAATTTCTGAAGCAGGATGCTGGAAGGAACTAGATTATCTTGATATGTTAGAATCTTGCTTCATTTAATCTTGCTAGAGCATTCTTCCCTGTCATCTGTAATTTTCAAAATAAATGTTTATAATAGAGAAAATGAAATTATTTTTATGTAAAAATGTCTTGATTCATTTATTAAACACTTTTCTTTTGAGTGCTTACTGTATTAGGCACTGGAGTTACAGTAATAAAAAAAAGCAAAAGTCTGCTGAGAGAACTTTATTTAATGAATTATAATATATAGATGATAATATGAATGGTTGTATTATTGCCATTATTTTATAAATATTATGTGATTGACTTATAAACAACATTTATTGAGGATTTACTATGTGACAGGCTGTGATAAGCACATTACACATATGATCTTTTCAATCTTCACCTGGGAAGGAAGTATTATTATTTATTATTATTTTGCCCATTTTATAGGTGAGCAAACAGGTATAAGAAACTGAGGTATACTAAATGGAAGAGCAGGGATTCGGACACAGATTCAATTGACCTGGAAGCCCCCACTCTTAGCCATGGCACTGTTTTGCTTACAGTACTCAGAGCATTGGCAGGTACACAGTAGGACCTCAATAAACAATCATTGAATCAATGTACTTTTGAGCCCCACTTACAACAGTGACATTGTGTTAGGTACTAGAGACAATGCAAAGATGAGCATGACATAGTCTTTTACCTTATTTGCTTTAATTAAACATATTAATAAATTGGAAGAAAAATTAATTAACAGGTTGGTAAAGTGACAGAATCTCAAGAAGATATAAATATAAGTATGGCAAAAGTCAACAGATATCATGTTGTAAATTAGGATAGTAAATTACTCCAGGATTGTAACATAAATCAATCAAGCAGTCTGAACTGGCTATTATAAATGATGAATGAAAGGAATTTTCAATCCCAATCAAATGAGACATAATTTTATTCCTTATGAGACATAATTTTATTCCTATATGCTGAATCTGGAGCTTGCCTTTTAGATTTTTGAACATATTTGTTTAAAAGATGTGGTTATTTTTTTAAAGGTTAGTGACATGTGAAACTTGGTATTATATAAAAATGATAATTAAAGCACATTTCCCTCTAGTGAGTCAGATTTATTTCCCTATAATCTACTTGGTTATAAGTTACTTAGTTGAGAAGGTTGCCTTTTCTTTACTTCTTCCTCTTCTTTGCCTCATTCTCTCCTGTTCTTTTGTCTTGCCTCCCCCTTTCTTCTTCTCCAAACTTTCATTTTCCTACCTGTCATAAAGTACCAGGGCTGGAGAGACTTTAAGGGCCATCTATTTCAAACTTTTATTCAGTTCAGAAATCTCTCCTTCCATCCTGTTGCTGGAGCATATTATCTAGCCTTTGTTTGAAAAGAAGACAAAGTAGTGGAAGTGCCATAGTTTCTAAAGAATGTCATGGTGAAAAAACAACTTGTTATATTTAATGATACTCATTTTTATATAATTGCTAAATGTTTTTCCTAGTTTTGCCTTTTAGATGAACAAAAACATTTTATTCCTCATCTATGTGATGAGTTTGGCCAAAACCTAATCACAGGGCCACATCTGGCTGTGAGGGAGGCTGGGGAATGCCACCTCTAGCTAGGCAGTCGTAGGCTGGCTAAGCCCAATGGTATTTATTGCTAAAAGGTAGCGGGGGAGAATAGCTACTGCTGGACCATCAGCAGTAAAGCTGCACGCAGAGAACAGGAAAACAAGTGGAACATAAGTATGTCCTGTGTTCTTTTATGTGCTGGTCAGTCAGGTGCGGTCACAAGGGGAGACACAAGAGAGACACAGGAAACAAAGTATATTATAGTCCTAGGTCCTTGAAACAGGAGGCATGGCCACTACCTTTACTCGAGTTTCTGAGAGAAAGGTAAGGCAGGGCAGGGTCAACAGTTTAGAATTGGATAATTTGAATAATTTTGGCAGTCTCTAAATTCTAAGGGTAGTCCCTCATTGCCTGGTGGTACCAGGCCCTGGGATGATTAAGGTAAAGGAATATTGCCTCCAGGCTGATATGTCGAGGTGGAGGGGATGTGGCTCTGAATTGCTAGATTACGGATCAAAGGCATGTTCTAGGCCACCCTATGTCTTTTGATGGGAGTATTTAATCCATTTATATCTCTAAGAGTTACCTAACCCAGGGAGGAGCAGTCTTTTTTTAGCCTGAAAGATATCAAAACATTGTAATACACAGAAAATAAAATATAAATAATACATATTACTATAAGAAATGAAAAATTTTAGGGCAGTGCTAATTTTTTTAACCACATCCCACTACTTTTCATTTTATTTATTTTAAAATATTATTTTTTTTCAATTACAGTTGACATATAATATTATATTAGTTTCAAGTGTACAACATAGTGATCAGACATTTATATAGTTTATGAACTGACCACAAAGATGTGTCTAGTACCCATATGACACCATGCATAGTCATTACAATATTATTGACTATATTCTCTACTAGTGGCCTGGTGCATGAAATTCATGCACGGGGGGGTGTGTTTGGGAGGGTGTGGCTCCCTCAGTCCAGCCTGCACCCTCTTCAATCTGGAATCCCTCTCGCAATTCAGAACCACTGGCTCCTAAGCACTCACCTGCCTGCCTGCCTGATGCCCCTAACTGCTTCCCTGCTGGCCTGATGACCCTAACTGCTCTCCCCTCCTTGTCTGATCCCCCTAACTGCCTATCTGCTCCCTCTAACTGCCTATCTGCACTTCCCTCCTGGCCTAAACCCCTTAACTGCCTATGTGCTCTCCCTTCCTCTCCGCGCCTTCAGACCCCAGTGCAGGAGTGCTGAGAGCTCTCCGCTGAGGCCCCGCCCCTGTCCTGTCACCCCCCTCCAGGCTGGATGGCACTGCAGGTACACGCTTCTGCAGAGGGGACCGCTGTGACCTGTCCTGACTCCCCCCACCAGGCCAGGTGGCGCTGGGGGGGTGGGGGCGCCGTGGCCCATCCTGATGCCGCCCTCTGGGCCGAGTGGCACCGTGGGCCTGCATGCGCTTCTGCCGGGGGGAGGGAGGACTCTGAGGTCTGTTCTGACGCCCCCTTCCAGACTGGGCGGTGCTGGGGGGCGGCCACCAAGGCCCATCCTGATGCCCCCCTCTGGGCCGGGCGGCCCTGCAGGCCAGTGTGTGCTTCCACTGGGGGAGCCGCTGTGGCCCACCCTGATGCCCCCCTCCAGGCCAGGCGGCGCCATGGGCCTGCACGTGCTTCCGCTTGGGGGCCACCCCCGGCAGCAGCCTCATGTCCTGGTGGCACAAGTCCCTGCCCCTATCCTCGCCCCCTAGCTCCTGTGTGTGCACACCTTTGGACTGGTCATGACTTGGACACCATTAAGACCAATTAGCATATTCCCTTTTTATTATATAGGATGCTATACTTTACATACCTGTGACTATTTTTGTAATTCCCAATTTGCACATCTTAATCTCTTCCCTTTTTTACCCATTTCTCCTCCCATCTGGTAACCATCAGAATATTCTCTGGATCTATGAGTTTGTTTCTGTTTTGTTTGCTTATTTTGTTTTGTAGATTGCACATATAAATGAATTCATATAGTATTTGTGTTTCTCTGTCTGACCTATTTCACTTAGCATGGTCCATCCATATTGTAGCAGGTGGCAATATTTCATTATTTTTATGGCTCAGTAATATTCCACTGTATATATGTAGCACCTCTACTTTATCCATCAATCTAGCAATGGACACTTACGTTGCTTTCATATCTTAGCCATTGTTAACACTGATGCAGTAAACATGAGAATGCATATGTCTTCTTGAATTAAAGTTCTGGGTTTCTTCAGATAAATACCCAGGAGTGGAACTGCTGTGTCCTTCTTTGTCTCTTGTTATAGCCTTTGTTTTAAAATCTATTTTGTCTGATGTAAATATTGCTACCCCAGCTTTCTCTTTCATCTCCATTTGTGTAAAATATTTTTTTATCTACCTTTACTTTCTGACTATTTGTATCTTTTGATCTGAAGTGGGTCTCTTGTAGATAGCATATGTATGGCTCTTGTTTTTTTTTATCCATTTAGCCACCCTATGTCTTTTGATGGGAGTATTTAATCCATTTGCTTTTAAAGTAATTATTGAGCCTGGCTGATATTGCTCAGTGGTTGAGCATCGACCTATGAACCAAGAGGTCACAGTTCAATTCCCGGTCAGGGCACATGCTCGGTTGTGGGCTCGATCCACAGTAGGGATGTGCAAGAGGCAATCTGATCAATGATTCTCTCTAGTCATTGATGTTTCTATCTCTCTCTTCCTCTCCCGTCCTATCTGAAATAAAAAATATATATTTAAGAAAATAAAGTAATTATTGATAAGTATGTAGTATTTTAGTAATTGCCATTTTATTATTCATATTTCTTCTTCTTAAAGAAGTTCTTCTAGCATTTTTTTATAATTCTGGTTTGGTTGGTGATGGAATTATGAATAATATTAAATAAAAATTGGATGACATTTTAATTTGAAAATGTCTGAACTTTCTTCTAATTTCCACTCTATCGTCATTCTCTTTTTGTGCTTAGGCAAGGACAGCATCCTGTACTCCTACTGTTTTCCAATGGGGATGCATTTGCAGTGAGTACTACAAATTTTTACTCAATCTAATCAACCTATGTTGTACAATTACTATATTGTTTAATGTAGGTTAAACTTATTTTGGAAATTTGAATATTTATATCCTTGGTGTTTAAACTTTATTTTCTTCTCCAAAGTTATGGGGAAAGAAGCAAAATAAGAGAGTGAAAGGGCATGAGTAAGGCTGATGTGCACAAGGCTAATTTTTAAAATGGTTTTGCAGGTTTATGGGTGGGTCATTAATAAGGCTTGCTGTTCTACATGTGCTCTTGAACATTGGTTTTAGTAATGATAACCACGCTTCTGGGGATAGAGTTTCTACTGAGTTCTGTAAAAGGAACAGCAGAGAATAGTGTGTACTTGGTTGGAATATATCTTACAACTGAGGGCACTTTCAACAGTCAAAAAGCAGATTTTTTTAAGTGAAATATTTCAATGCAGCAAAAAAGTACAGAAAATAATGGACACCACCACCTAGATTTAACATTCACCACTTAGACTTGCCAGGTATTAAAAAATAACTCCTTAGAGACACACCCAGTGCCCATCTCTTGTCCCTTTCTCTTCCTTCTCTCATTTTCTCTTCCCATCTTTACCAGTGTTTTCAACTTTCACTATTGTAAAATTTATCTGTATCATTTCCATAGAAGTTTTTTTGTTTTTGCAACATGTATATATCCATAAAAACTGATATAGTGTATTTTAAATGTTTATGAAATGATATATTCTTCTTAATAAATTAGAAAGAGCTATGAATTAAGATGATTTATAAATGATGGAATCTAAAGACATACTTCTAACATAAGGAGAACCAAGATGGCGGCATAGGTTAATGCTGGAGTTTGCTGCTTTGAACAACTACTTCAAAAGTGAAACCAAAAAACGGAAGGGACATCACCCAGAACCACAGGAACGCTGGCTGAGTGGAAGTCCTACAACTAGGAGGAAAGAGAAACGCATACGGACACTCAGAGGAGGCGCAGTGCTAAAGTCAAATTCTGAGGTGCGGAGTGCGCGAGCGGGCTGGCGGCGGAGGGCGCGGTTGGCGTTTTCAATCGGGAGGGAGTCGCAGACTCTGAGCTCCAGATACAGGCGAGTCTCTAGCGACCCAGACTCAAACGGGAGAAGCGGGACTGTCTGGCTTCGGTCAGAGCGAGTGCAGCTTTCTCTCCGAGCTTTGCAGCGGGTGCTGGGACTCAGAGAGGCAGAGCCCCTGGGGACAGGACTGAGAGCCGCCATAACTGCTCTCTCCGGTCCACCCTGTTGATCCTGTTCGACCCGCCCCGCCCAAGCCCTGCACACAGGCATTTGCCGGATAGCCTCAGGCAAAGGCTAGATTAGCACCTCCCTAGAGGACAGAAGTTCTCTCACCACAGACACAGCTGATTCTCATAGCCACTTGGCCTGGAGGTCAAACCCTCCCTGGAATTAGCTACAACAATCAAGGTTTAACTATAAGACTGTGAACAAAGACCACTAGGGGGTGCACCAATGAAGCATAACAAAATGCGGAGACAAAGAAACAGGACAAAATTGTCAATGGAAGATATAGAGTTCAGAACCACACTTTTAAGGTCTCCCAAGAACTGTTTAGAAGCCGCCGATAAACTTAATGAGATCTACAAGAAAACTAATGAGACCCTCGATCTTATATTGGGGAACCAACTAGAAATTAAGCATACACTGACTGAAATAACGAATATTATACAGACTCCCGACAGCAGACCAGAGGAGCGCAAGAATCAAGTCAATGATTTGAAATGCGAGGAAGCAAAAAACACCCAACCGGAAAAGCAAAATGAAAAAAGAATCCAAAAATGCGAGGATAGTGTAAGGAGCCTCTGGGACAGCTTCAAGCGTACCAACATCAGAATTATAGGGGTGCCAGAAGATGAGAGAGAGCAAGATATTGAAAACCTATTTGAAGAAATAATGACAGAAAACTTCCCCCACCTGGTGAAAGAAATGGACTTACAGGTCCAAGAAGCGCGGAGAACCCCAAACAAAAGGAATCCAAAGAGGACCACACCAAGACACATCATAATTAAAATGCCAAGAGCAAAAGATAAAGAGAGAATCTTAAAAACAGCAAGAGAAAGAAACTCAGTTACCTACAAGGGAATACCCATACGACTGTCAGCTGATTTCTCAACAGAAACTTTGCAGGCCAGAAGGGAGTGGCAAGAAATATTCAAAGTGATGAATACCAAGAACCTACAACCAAGATTACTTTATCCAGCAAAGCTATCATTCAGAATTGAAGGTCAGATAAAGAGCTTCACAGATAAGGAAAAGCTAAAGGAGTTCATCACCACCAAACCAGGATTATATGAAATGCTGAAAGGTATCCTTTAAGAAGAAGAAGAGGAAGAAAAAGGTAAAGATACAAATTATGAACAACAAATATGCATCTATCAACAAGTGAATCTAAGAATCAAGTGAATAAATCTGATGAACAGAATGAACTGTTGATTATAATAGAATCAGGGACATAGAAAGGGAATGGACTGACTATTCCTGGGGGGGAAAGGGGTGTGGGAGATGCGGGAAGAGACTGGACAAAAATCGTGCACCTATGGATGAGGACAGTGGGTGGGGAGTGAGGGCGGAGGGTGGGGCGGGAACTGGGAGGAGGGGAGTTATGGGGGGAAAAAAAAGAGGAACAAATGTAATAATCTGAACAATAAAGATTTAATTAAAAAAAAATAAAGACATACTTCTAACTTAATATCATCAACGAGTGTGTATATATACTTATTGATACATAATATTATTATATTTTATAAGAAAGAATGTATCTATTAAAGTCAAGTCTAGAAGATGTGGGTATCATAATATTAAAGAAAATTAAGGAATAATCTCCAATTGCGGCAGTCTTATGCACATTTATGTTATCTATCAATAAAAATTAACTCAGAATAATTAGAATATAGCGAGAACAGAACAGAGGAGGAGATTCATTAAAACAACTCATGGGTCTCCTGGGAGACAGGATAAAAGTGTGAAGAGAGGAGAGAAGAAGGAACAATTCTTGAATTCTATTCCTTTGCATCAGGATGAAACAGAATTGACAGATGCCTCCTTTCACTAATGAGAATTTGTTTTGTGTAGTATTCGGACAATGAAAATGTATTCATTGACAATTGACATACTTACAAAGTAAGATTAAAGGATTGAGATAGAATTTTCCACAAGATAGATGATGAATATTGGAGTCAAATGGATGTGGGTTCAAACTCCAGCTCTGGTGCTAACTTGCTGTGTGCCTTTGGATGAGTGAGCTAACTTTTCGGACACTGAGTTTCCTTGTCTGTGAATTAGAGAGAATAAAAATATTCACTTCAAAGGTTCTTGGAGATGATAAAATGAGATAATGAAGGTCAGGCACTATATTAATGTAAAATACATAAAGTAAGCCCTCAAATGGTGTTTAACATGAACTATTAATGAGAATATTTATAGCTTAGAAGAAACAGAGCATTTCAAATTCCATGTGGTGCATGTCAAGTATGGTGATGAAAATATGACTTAGAAAATGCTAATGAAAGGGAGATACTATCCAGATACAATGAATGAAGCTATGGAAAATCCAAAGGGAAAGTGTGAAATTTGTGAATTTTAAGTAAGGAGGTTATTAAGGAAGCTGTGAACATTTTATTATAATTTAAAATCTTAGGAAGGTGACTGAAATGGAGAAATGATGCTTAAAAAATGTATATACATGGAATGGGAATAAAACCCGAGTTGATGGGAAGTAGAAATGGAGAAAAGCTTGGTTGTTGAATGCCCAAATGCTCTTAGGCCTTCTGGGGACGAGTCAAAGCTACAATCATCCATCCTGGTTACTGAAGTCCTATATACAAAAGCAATCAGCTCCATAGAAGACTTAGCTGAAGGCTTTTTCCCATTGTAATATCCCAGTCATGAAAGAAGAAAATTGTAAGCAGTGGCAAGAAATCAAAAATCGATAAGATGCTTACATATGCTTCATATCTACTACTGTATTTAAAAAGTCTCTCTTGATCCATCTCCAGTGTTCTCCCAAAAGATTTTCCTATTTGCTTTCTGTTCAGAAAACTCTACACCTGCAGCTCATTTTTCTTAAATGTGTTTATTTCTTAAACTCTTGTATTTTGGGTTTTACCTGTTGAAGTTTATCTTGGTGAACAGATTTAATGCAATCTTCTCATTCTTTGTGATTTCTCTGCAGCATGTGTGAGACATTGATAATTATTCCTTTTTCTTGAGATTCTTTTCAGGATTCTCCTACTTCTCCAATGAGCCTTTTTTGATATTACTCCTTTCTCTTCTCCTGGTCCTCCAAACAGGTCTGTCTCCTCTTTGTTTTTGCTACCAAAAACATTCTCCACAATGGCCACCCGATCCTCGCCCATGCCTTCAGCCACCCTTCATGTTCACATTTCCCCCACATTTATTTATCTGGGCCCAAGTTCTCTCTAGGGTGTTGGTCCTACATTCCCAATAATATTTTCAAGTATCTGCTCCTAGGTGTCCTGCCAGCAACTCAAGCTTAACATTTCTGAAACTAAACTCAATTCCCAGATTTTGGTTGGGCCTTCCCTATAATGGCACCATTATTTTCTAAATTGGACAGATAAGAAACTTCTGCCATGTTCGATTGTTCCATCTCTCTTGCCTCCCATATACAGTCAGTTGCTATGTCTTGTGACTTTTTAGAGTTTGGCTCTAAAGCAGTCTGTGAAGTAGTGTGAGTGACCACTGCATGGCATTCCTGTTTATTAAATCAAACTTAGCAAATATTCATTAGAAAGTCTATTAGAACTCTACACAGTTCCTGATAGTAGGTCAGTCATGCAAGGGGGTGAGGATTGGAAATAAAGTGAGGCTGGACTGTTAGAGTAGGATGTGGTGAAAGAAAGAGAGAGGACTGGACCATGCCTCTCCTTGACAGCCACAGGGTTTGAGGCATGGCTCTCCGAGTCATCTCGGTATGGCTTTGTTAGAATTCTTGGATAGAA